GCCCCGAAAAGGGCATTTTTAGGAGGCCCAGACTGACAGGAGGAAGGCGTTTAGCTCCAGAGAAACAGGCAGGGTGCGCTGATGGCCTGAGCACTGTGCTGGATCTTCAGGGTATTAACTTTTTGTGCAAACAAAATAAGATGCTCTCCAGTTAATTCCAAAATTCAACCAATATTTAATGAAATGCCATGTATTCTGCCCTGAGAATACTGATCTAAGACAGTCCTGGCCCGTGTATCATGACAAGAGAGCAGGAAGGATCAGTATGGGCGTGGAACAGTAAAGGAGCAGGAAAGAGGGAAACTTACAGCCGCCTGGAGGTCAGACTTCTGGGAAGCTAGAAGCTGGAGACCTGAAAGGTGAACAGAAATAGCCCCGTGATGGGGAGGTGAAGAGAGGCACCGGGTCGAACTGCCGGTGTGAAGGCTCAAAGGCGAAAGCTAAGGCATGTCTGAAGCCGGGAGCAGGGAAGGAGGGGGCCTGGGAGCCAAAGACTCTACGATGAAGGGTTTGGCAAACTATGTTCAGCTCGGGCTCTATCCTGAAGGCCACTCACTAGACCGTACACTCCGTCTCCACGGCAACCGCACCATGACCGTCACAGAACAGGAGCTCCACAGTGACTGTTCGTGACTCTACGAATGGACAGGGGGGCAACGGGGAGTTGTGGAGAGGTTTCCTTACTTTTTGATGGTTCCTAAAAATTGAAATATCGAACCAATCTTTTGTTCCATATTAGAGAAAAATGGTAACTTGCCATCGTTAGTCAGGCTATCGTACCTACTAAAAGTGCAGCCAAAACAGAAACAGAATGAGATGTTTGTCTGTTTTGGAAAGGGGCCTGGAAAGGGGTGAGGCAGCAGGTGGAAGGGAAATCCTGATGACTCCACCTCTTGACCCAGGGCTGGGATTCTTTCCCCTCTGCTGAGAAGAATAAAAAGCTGTGTGGGACATTTGATGAAGTTTTTGGTTTACTATTAAATTCCACTCCTCATAAGGGAGCTCTTCTATCTCAGATGATTCGACTAAGGTAATGGCCTTTGGTATCGAAGATGTTAGAGACAGTGACTGTAATCCGTGTGGCCGGAAGGACAGGACCATCACCCTGTGAGACAGTGTTCTGTGGGCCTCGTTGCTTCTGGGCATCTGATGAGCAAGGCACCAACTGCCCTCCATTCCAGACTATCTTTTCAATGATGTCTGCATAGCAAGCCGGTTTTGGCCTCTGGGGCACAAGGAAGCACGCTGACTACTGCCCATTAGAAAGGACCTGAGTCTCCTCAGCTCATGGCTCCTCCCCGAGAATACAGCCCACCCCATGGGCACTCTTCTGTTTAGGCCCACACGCAAAGTCAAAATCGCAGACCTTGACACACCCTTCTTAGAAATGGTTTACTGCTACAACTCAACATTCTTGTTCTTTCCTGAACTTACCTAAGCAACGTGGATACTGTTACTGCTGATTATAACACAGTTCCTGTTTTTAAAAGACTACAATACCTAAAAGCCTCTTTTATACACTCCCAACAGATATCTTCTAAAGAAGTAGCAGGTCTAAGTGAATGGCAAAAATCCACAAAGAAAATAAAACAAAACAAAAAAATCAAGAAACTGAACACAGTAGACATAATCTGGAAGAGAAGCCGTTTTTATAAAACATAAATATTTCAAATCCATTATATTCAATGATTAGCAGTGCATTCTGTCTGAAATAAACAAGAGCAATTAAAATAGTACAGGATGTTTTTTTGTTTGTTTGCTTTTAAAGGGACCACTAAACCAAGATTTGTATCTCTGTATGGAACTGATTTTCAAAGGGAAAGAAGTGGTCTTTGATCTTTCTGAACCATTTGTCTTCAAATTCTTTCGAAGATGCAATCACCAAGGCAGCCAGGGCTGTGGGGCCAGCACACTTCACCTCTGTGTGAACCTCATCTTTTATTTTTTCTGGGACGAGATCTTCTCCCATAACCTGTAGCAGGAGGCGGAAGACAAAACCTGTCCCAATAAAAGGGGCGGCGCGTGCAGAATGGAAGACTGTGCTATTCATCAAGGGTAAAGGATTTCATACCAAAAAAGCAAATTACTTTAGCAGCCAGGGGACAATTCCAACATATTGAAAAGCTGTTTGTTCAGAAGTAGCGCTCCAAGGACCACTACCTTGTAAAATACCCTCTATTTCTGCTCTTATCTTCCCCTGAGTGAACAAATCACTGAACTACTGATGCGGCAGCTATTAGCCTACAGAGAGCGCCCGGTCAACCTTCTTAAATCCAAGAGCCCCTTCTGTTGGCAAGAACACAGCTCCAGGTGCTTCTCCCTCATTGTCAAAAAACCAGAAAGGAGAGCGGGGGAAGAATACAGCTTCTGGGGGTGGGGTGAGTGAGGGCACAGATTCTTCCTCTTAGCAGCTCTCCAAAGAAGTCAAAGACTACGAACCGTCAGGTAGCAAGTAGCTGGGCCTAGCCTTTCCTGACCCAGAAAGCCTCAACCCTCTGGAGATGTTGTACAAGCACGGCCTCTAAAGGCACAATACTGCTCCCTACAGGTCAGAGTCAGGCCCAGATCCTGTGTCAGCTTCTCTGATGAGACAAGACACGCAGAAGTGAAGTGGTGGACAGCTGGCACCTGAACCCACTAAGTGATCAGCCTGTCTTCAGTTAAGGACAGTGAACTAAAGTTAAGTCCCCATACGTTTCACACCGTTGGCGTGACAGGTTAGCAAGCCATCTGGCAGGGATGTTATAGAGGGAATTTTAGTCACTTGGATTTGGACCAGATGATGTCTAAGTTTCCTGCAAACCCTGAGACCCAGCGTGTTGATGAATACTCAAATTATAATGAATTAAAAGAATGGTCTCCTCTGGCTTTAAGTCTTCAAAGGCTACTTATTATTTGAGGCAAGAGCTAATGAGATGAACAGCTTAACTGGGCAACTGTCTGCATTTATTAAAGCACGGTATTTTCATGAATTCTAAGACAAAGTTTGTTTTTTTATTTTAACATTTCTGACATCAAGAGGCACTTTACAACACAGGTGTGTGATAGTATAAAAGGCACCTTACTTTCCTTTTGGTGACCCAGCAAATAATGATGTGTCTTACAATTGGTGACTTCTTGGACTCAATGAAATGTACTACTTTGAAATCTGGGATATAACACCTAAAATCTTTTTTTTAATAGAAGAGAGAATTGAATAACAGTAGTAGCCAAATGTGCAATATTCCAAAAAGAGAGATTAGCAGGTGCATCATTCACAGGTTCAAAATATCTGCAAAAATATTTGGCCATATAAAAACATTTAAACTTCTGTATACCAAAAAACACTTCAGAAAATACTGCATAAGGGGCACTTGGGTGGCTCAGTCGGGTAAGCATCTGACTCTTGATTTCAGCTCAGGATGTGATCTCGTGGTTCACGGAATCAAGCCCTACGTTGGGCTCTGTGTGGAGCCTGCTTGGGATTCCCTCTCCCTCTCTGTCCTTCCCCTGCTTGTACACTGTCTCTCAAAATAAATAAGTAAACATTAAAAAAGAAAAGAAAATACTGCAACATATAAAAGGTTAGTAAGCCTCGTATAGAGAGCTTGCTCTTAAAAATTAGTAAGAAAAACAGAAACATGCAAGTAGAATAATGAAGAAAAAGCATGACTTTATTTCACAAAATATAAATGGCCAAACATAAGAAACATGAAAAAACTGTTTATCTTAATAGTAATCCAACAAGAGAGGCACCTGCTGGCTCAGTTGGTTAAGCGTCCAACTTTGGCTCAGGTCATGATCTCATGGTTTATGAGTTCGAGTCCCGTGTGGAGATCTGTGCTGATAGCTCAGAGCCTGGAGCCTGCTTCAGATTCTGTGTCTCCTTCCCCCTCTGCCCTTCCCCTGCTTGTGCTCTCTCTGTCCTGTCTCTGTCTCTCAAAAATAAATAAACATAAAAAAAAAAAAAGTAATCAGGGGCATCTGGGTGGCTCAGTCGGTTAAGCATCTGACTTTGGCTCAGGTCATGACCTCATGGCCATGGGTTCCAGCCCCATGTTGGGCTCTGTGCTGACAGCTCAGAGCCTGGATCCTGCTTTGGATTCTATGTTTCCCTCTCTCTCTGCCCCTCCCCCTCACTCGTGCTCTGTCTCCCAACAATAAATAAAACATTAAAAATTTTTAAAAAATAGTAATCAAACAAATAATACTAAAACATGCTATTTTAACCAAATTGCAAATTTCAAAAAGAAGTTAATATAAAATTGTCTTTAGAGGTCTAAATGATCAACTATTGACAATTTCACATGCTGCAACCTAATATCTAGGATTGGAGAAGGAAAATCACTTTTTCATACAGGGTATGTAAAGTGAACCAACCTTTCTGAATCACAGTTTGGAAATGAACTTCAAGTCTTTAAAATATACTTTCGCCTACTGATTCTGTTCCTAGTAATCTATTCTAAAAGGGACAAAACATACAGTACTTTCTTTTGCAAAGATTCTTAAAATAGGTACTTAATATCTGTTAAACGTTCAAGATAGAGGACTTCAGTAAACAAATGATAGCTCATCAAAAGCTGCAGTTGGACTACTATCTGGCCATTAAAAAGAACACACTCAAACGGTATTTAAAGACACAGGATCATGATTAGGTCACAGTGTTATGTAAAAATAATAGCATACAAAGTGAAATGTACAGTTTGGCAATTCCTCAAAAAGTTAAACACAGAATCACCACGTGACTGAGCAAATTCCACTCCTAGGTATATACCCAAAAGATTTTAAGTCAGGAACTCAAACAGATACTTGTATGCCAATGTCCATGGCAGCATTATTCACAAGAGCCAAAGGTGGAAATGACGCAAACGTCCATCAACAGCTGAAGGGCCAAACAAAACAGGGCGCATGTGCGCATATGATGGAATCTGATTCAGACACCAAAAGGAATGAAGTTCTGACACCTGCTACAAACGGAGAAACCCTGAAAACATTATGTTAAGTGAAAGAAGCCAGATATAAAAAGGCAAATATTATATGATTCTACTACTTCAAACACCTAGAACAGGCAAATTCACAGACATAGAAAGGAGATTAGAGGTCACCAGGGGTCAAAAGGAGGGGGAATGGGAATTATTACTTAATGGTTAGAGTTTCTCTTTGGAATGATGAACAAGTTTTGGGAAGAGTGGTGATAGTTGCACAACACTGTGCAGGTAAGTACTGAATTGTACACTAAACAACGATTCAGATGGCAACTTTTAGGTTACATATATTTTTTATCTTAAAAAAACAGAGAAGAGGAGCTATTACAGAATGAAAGAATGTAAGAGACAGAGGAACCAAATACAATCTGTGGACCTTATATGGATCCTAATTCAAATGAAACATCTATAAAAAAGAGAAAAAAAGTATGCAATGAAAGGATATTTAAGGACACAGGGTCCTGCTCATGTCGCAAAATAAAATGAACAGAGCACAAAGTGAAATGTACATTATAATCTCAGTGAGGCCCCAGACACTGAGCTTTTTTAAAAAGCTCCACAGGTATGTCACATGCATTGTACAGATGGAAAACTACGATTCCTCTCAGCCCACGGATCTATCAAGCACGGCGAAAGTATGAAGATGTTTAAGATCTCCTTATAAGGATGACCTTACTTTTAAGGAAATCTAAAATCTAGTTGGAAAGATATATTCTTGTATTTTTTGTCTGTCTGTTTGTTTGTTTTTTAGGGCCCAAAGAGCTATCCATTCAACCATTCGCTCTACCTGAGCTCCGCTGCCACGGATAGGGACACTCAGGGAAAGCTTCCCAGAGGATGCAGAACTTCGGCAGGGTCTTTGTGGAGATGAGGAAACCCATGACAAGTTTGTTAGATGCGGTAGACCAGTCTAAAGGATGTACAAGATTGGTGTGAGGAACTACTAGGTCTAATTTCGGGGTTACTCTCCGGAAGGCCCTGGGTGTCATTGGAGGCACCTAACCTCTGACGTGATGGCTGACACAACTTCAGGTATCGAGCATCAGGTAACATGTTCGAAGCAATGCTGTGAGACACACCTGGCAGCAGCCATGTTGAAGACAGATCTGAGGGGAGAAAGCAAGGAAGCGAGGAGAGATGAGCCAGGAGGTCCCTGTGAGCCACGCAGGAGGTGATCAGGACGAGGCTGCTGGCAGTGGCAGAGAAATGAAAGGTGACCTGAAGGAAGGGTGGGCTGGGTGCCCAAGAGAGGTGAGACTGCAGAGGACGTGGCCCACAGCTGGTGAGGTCCCAGGTCTGGATAAAAGACGAATGACAGACATGACTGACGAAAACAACAAAGTCTAGAACACAGAGATGGTTCTCACCAACTCCTCTCTACTTGGGACAGACAGAAGACTGACCGGGAAGGGTTTTGATAAGCAGCAGCTCCACTTTAGACACTTTGTACTTGAAGTGACAGGGGGAACATCAGTAACTTCGGATTCATCACTCAGTACGTAACTAGTCTGAGACGTGACAGAGTGTTCCAGAGATGGGACTAGGGACACAGAGTGGAGGGTAATCAACCAGGAGGTGACAACTGAAGCCGTGAGTGGAGTTAGGACTTCTGTGGGAGACACGCAGAGAGGACAGAGAACCTAAGTGGGACCTCAGAGGATGTTGTTACTTAAGACACAGAGGAAACCAGAAGTCCCAAGAAGCAAAGGAATAGCAAGAATTCAGACTTGAATTCTTGGTCTCTGGGAAGTAAAGAGAAGAGGGAACAAAAAGGGAGTGGTCAGTAGGTATAACACCCCAAAAAGACAAAGGGAAACAAAGGCCAAGGAAAGGCTACAGCAGTAAACTTAGGAAGGAAAGGCTATCCGCACATGTCTGTGGGCTCAAGGAAAAGGGCTCATGGAAGAGGAAAGGTTGAAAACAGCTCAAAGAGAACAGATAGAAGGGCGTGGTCCCATAAGAGGGAAACCAGGGTCCAAGTGGGAGCTTAGCTTGGAGAAGGAAGAAAGGAACCTGGCAATCAAGCTTTGCAATACGTGTTTCTTGAAAGAAAGACATTAGGATGGATATGGACACAAGTTATCTTATGGGATAAGTACCGGAACTGTCAAGTTTCAATTTCATACTAAAGGGAACTAGTGTGAATAACTTAAATACAAACACAGATAATCTCCAAATGCTATCTTAAGAAATTTCAACATCATATTTTAAAAAAAAGCTAATGAAGGTTAAAAAGAAACCCTAACGTGTGAATTTCTCAACCATCGACGCAGTAAGAAGGTGGAGCAGAGAGAAAATGGCCCTGTAGCTGGACGGGCTGCAGTCTAGCTCTGCCGCTTAAAATGTGACGTTAGGCAGGTCGCAACCTGTCTGCGTGTCACTCCCAGCTCCACCTGTCCCACGGGCTGTTATGAGTGTCAGGGGGACAAATGGAGGTAAAACGTGCAGCAATACTGTAAGAATGTCAACATTCGTTCGTGTAAACAGCACTCAAAAACCACTCACTGGCCATTTATGGTGTTCAGGTAGGCAGGTACTAACAGGCACCAACAAGAAAATGAATCGGAGCCCTTGCCGCCAGCCCGCTGCAGGAGAAAGACCATGAACGGGCCGCTTTCAGGCATTCCGTGATCAAACGGCATGTAAAGCAGGGAAAGAGAGTCCTTTCAGTAGATGAGATTTGGCTGTTTTTTTAAAAAATGGTACCAGAGCCAGGAAAAATACTGTCTGATGCCTTGGTTCACACAGAGCCCTAGGGGTTTACGCGAACACTCACCTCAGCTATCAACAGCAAAGTGTCTTCTTTGAAGCCGAACTCTTTCATTTTATCTTCAATTTCCTGCTGAGTCCTTAAGTTCCTCTCCAAAGCAAATGAGGTTTGCTGAGACTGGGTGAGCTGAAGCAAAAGCCTGAAAAACAGAAGTCCCAACGTGTGGGCACAGGGAAGGGAAAGCGGTGAGCGAAGGTTCCCAGAGGGCACAGGCATTCTGCGGGGTGGGAGTCCTCCCAGGCCAAAGGAAGGCGCTCGCTCACCTTCATGTGAGTCCCTGACGCTTCCTACTTGAGCAAACTGCCTTGGAGAGTCTTTTCTAAAATTCACAGACTAAAGCTTCTCAAAGAAATCTTTAGAGAGCGAAACCTCAAAGGGCTTGGAGTCAAGTGACTGAAAGCACAAACAATGTGGAGTGAAAAGGACAAGCTTCCCAATCAAAGGCTCCTCCCCACAAAGTGCTGAGATGTGTTCCTTTGAAGTCTTCGTTCTGTAAGCCTTCACTCTGCCTGAACCCACAGCAACTTGACCTCAAGGACTAATTAGATTCTCCAGTGTACTTCAATTACCCAAAGCAGGGTCAAGTCTTCGATGAGCCTCTGGTGACCACACTGCAACTGCCTCGCCGTTAACTTTCCCATGGTGATCATAACCTGGTCTTCTTTCCCCCTCCCTCCTGGCCTCCTCATGTGTCTCCTTCTCGTCACTGTTTATTATTTACTTATTTTAATGTTTTTAGACAACATATTTCTCTTCTTAAAATTTTTTTTAGTGTTTATTTACTTATTTGAGAGAAAGAGAGCACGAGCAGGGGAGGAGCAGGGGAGGAGCAGAGAGGGGGAGAGAGAGAGAGAAGGAGAGAGGGAGAGAGAGGGAAGGAGAGGGAGAGAGAATCCCAAGCAGCCTCTGTGCTATCAGCACAGCGCAGGAAGTGGGGCCTGATCTCACCAACTGAAAGATCATGACCTGAGCCAAAATGAAGAGCCAGACACGCTCAACTAAGCCACCCAGGCGCCCCACTTCGTTGTTGTTTTAAAATATTAAATGTGGAGATTTTTCCAGTTCCCCTCAGGCCTGACTGGTCCCTACTGCTATTCCCAGAAGCACTTGGCTCTCCTGTTTGTTCACTTCAGGTCTTGAAGAATGGACCACTCACTACTCTAAGCATTAGAGGAAACTGGTGAGCAAATGGGACAGTTCCTATTGCGTGGAATGGAAGAGAGACCACAAGTAAGATGATTTTAGGGAGTGAGGAGTGCTGTGAGAAAAAAAAAAAATCCAAGCAGACTAGATAAAGTGTCTGCTTCAGATGCAGCAGTGAAGGAAGCGTTTTCTGAGTAACCACTCAAGCTAAGGCCCAAATAGTGAGCCAGCCACAGGATATCTGGGGCAAGGAGGCCCTGACACATGAATTAGCTTGATGCGCTTGAAAATCTTGCAGATCACTGTGGCTGGGCCAGAGACAAACAACTACTGAATGAGGAGAAAAAGAAAGGCATGGCCAATTCCATAACATTTCACAGACCATGGAAGGAAGCACGGCATTTATGTAGGCACAGCAGGAATTCACTGCAAAGTGTGGTCAGAGAGCACACTTTGACCCACTTACACCTGCTTACGGTATCAACTGGCCTCTGGAAACATGGACATTTGCGACTCCTTTTATCTCTTATGTACTTACTTTCTCCCTCTTGCCCCTGAAAGTGCTTGAAAATACAGCTTAACCTCGCTTCCGGGTCATGTTCGTTCAGCCCTCTGCCTTGTCACCCATCACCACTGAAACGCCTTCTCAAAGGCCACAAATGACCTCCTCATTGTCAAATCCTCTTCCCACAATCGATCCGACCTGACTCCTCATCATCACCTGGTTGCTAATCTCCTTCCTGAAACCCCTTCCTCTCTAGCTCCCTTCTTCTGAGCTCAACTCCCCCTAGGGAAGAGCTCCAGCTGGGTGTCCTACAGGCACCTGAATCTCAGCACATTAAACCAAAATCTTAATTCCACCCGAAGTCTGCTCTGCTCTTCCTCCTGTGTCATGTCTCAGCAAAAGGTGCCACCATTCACCCATATACCCAAGGGAGAGACTCTTGACTCATCTTGGACTCCTCTGCTCCCCCGCAACCCCCGTCTTTCCCACAGCCTCAGCTGCTCCCTGAGTCCTGTCTATTCCTTCCTGCAGTGATGCCCATTTCCTCTTATTACCACTGCACTGACCTAGGCCAGGTTCTCACTGCCACCCACCAAGGACTCCACGGCTCCTTCATGGTGTCCCAGGATCCCAGCTCCTTCTTCTAATACATCCTCCAGCCACCAGATCTCACTCTTGAAATCACAGCTCTTGTCACACCACTTGGGATATTTAAAACCTTCAAATACTATTCAGGCCTTCAGCTTAAGAACCAAATTCTTTAAGATGACATTTAACATCTCATGCTAATAGAAGTACAACATTCAGCAAATGCTCGCCACACAGCGTGGACCACACGAAGTCCTCCACACATTTTCTCTCACAACCCCGTGAAGAAGGCATTCCCCCATTTCTCCACAAAGGTGAAGACAAAGAAACGAGATCTGAGAGTTTAATTTGTGCAGGGTCAGAGCGCTAGCAAGTGAAGGAGACCAGACTCATTCACTAACAATTTATCAGGTCCTTACAACGAGCTCTGCCTCGGAAACCCTCCTCCTCCTCCTCCTCACTATGCCATCCTGGGCTCTGGGTCTCCAGCCCACCTCTCTCTGGCTCCACCACCAATGTTCTGTTACCGCAGCAGACCGCGTGACCACACCGGGCCACAGAGTGCTTCCACCCCACGGACCCCGCTTTCTTTCTCTTTACCCAGCGTGCCTCTTCTCAGCTGGGGAATACTGCACAGAGTCAGCAAGATATCCTGCAAAAGAACATAAGCTCTGGGGTCAGAGGCCTGGGTCAAGGTCATAGCAGCACTTCAGAGCTGTGCCACTCTGCCACATTAGTCTCCTAGTGTCCACGGTAGAACCCGGCACCCACCCTGGGCAGCGGTGAGCACGGACATGAAACAGCACACGGAACCACGCAGAACACACTTCTCCGTACAGCTGGCCGAGGTCAGAAACGTTCAGCAGCAGCGTCGCTCCCCCTGCAAAGGCTTCCTTCTTCCCACTACACCGAACCGCTCCCGTCACTGGCTGCGCAGGGTTCTGCTCACGCTACGGACACCCTGTCGGCGCCTGTGCCAGCCGTCCCTGATGATACAGGTATTTCCCTCAACACAGCACATGGCAAGTGGTGGAAAGAAAGGGCCTCTTTCATCAACAATGTTTACGACCCCAGCCCCCAGCAGGTGCCTGGCACACCGCTGCCATTCAATGTACTTCTGAATTCAAAGTAACATAGTCAAGGCCAGAAAACTGCTGAATAAAGTTTACAATTTGCCAAATAGATACCACTTCTCAGTAAGCCTCACTGTTAATCAACATTTCTTGAATTCTCCGGAGTTAACAACCACCACCACCGCCACACCACTCTGGTTTTTGGCATCATTTGAGACATAAGCGAATCTGTTTCTCTCCTAAATTACAGAATTGGTCAAGAGTATGCTCCTCTTTCCCTTAAACTCTTATTTCTATGGTTTAAAGTGTTCAGGGTACCTAAACCATAGGAATTCTCTGTAGAATGAATTAACTAGTGTTTATTCCTATTGTTACTAGAGATTCAAACACAAGAGCAGATTTTTTTGTCTGCAGTAGATTTCCATGGGACCTACCAGTGAAAAATTCCTGGTTTAAAATACCTCTTCCCCTTTGTCAATGTTTTATACGTTTAATTGTCTTTTTTTAAGTTTACTGTTTTACACTTTTAACATTTTATTTTGAGTAATGATACAAATCATTATCTTGAGCAAATAAAGTTTTGTTTCTACACCTTACATACTAAAAGGACAAGTTCAAAGGATTCCACCTAGACTACAGGAAAAAAATCTCAAAACTCTACCAAATGTCCAGCCTAGAACTTTCTGAAGCTTAAAATTAGAAAAATAATACCTTTACTCTAGGCTTAGTACCATGTGCTGTTTAATCCGTTCTTCATTTACCTGGTTCGTATAAAAGAGGCACATGCTTTCATCTGAGTCTCCAGCAACACTGCCTCTCTCTTTCCTCCCACACAGTTCTGAATATTTTTCAGAGCCTTCTCATTCTTCTGGTTATTACTGCTGCTTGCTTCCACAGAAAACACAGGGCTCTCAGGCAACGTTTCAGGAAAACACAAACGACAGTCTTTTCCTGAGTGTGTAAATGCGGATTTGATGGTTTTGTTACTGGAGGTAAAACTGTTCTGTTTTTGTGATGACGCACACAATGTTGACAGAGCTGGACCCAGACTCAGGTAAGCCTCTGCCAATTTGCCCCAGTTCCAAGGATCAAAAGGATGCAAAGAAATCAGTTTCTGTAGGCAGAGAATTGTATTCTCCAAGTTCTGCAGACTTGAACAAATAGCAAACTGGAGGTAGAGCACAGTGGTTAAATGGTCTATATTAGTTGCTTTATTTTCCTAGGGAGAAAAAAAAAAGTTAAAAACTTTGTTATTTTTTTTTAAGATTCTATTTTTGGGGCACCTGGGTGGCTCAGTCTGTTAAGCATCTAACTTTGGCTCAGGTCATGATCTCACAGTTCGTGGGTTCCAGGCCCATATTGGGCTCTGTGCTGACAGCTCAGAGCCTGGAGCCTGTTTCAGATTCTGTGTCTCCCTCTCACTCTGCTCCTCCCCTGCTCATGCTCTGTCTCAAAAATAAATAAATATTTTAAAAAATTTTAAGATTCTATTTTTAAATAATCTCTAAACCAGATGTGGGGCCCAAATCCACAACCCCAAGACAAGCTTCACCGACTAAGCCAGCCAGGTGCTCCAAAAGTTAAAAACTTAAACTGCAGAACCTTTTCCATGTAAAAATGGAGATGCCTAAAAGCCCAAGTTGTATATGCTGTAAATTAGAATTGTCTTTCAGTAGCTACACAAGGAGAGAGAACGAAGTTTGAAGATGTAAACGTAGAGAAATATATCCGACCTACCAAAATCACCATCAGAAATTCCCAAACATTCCTGGCATAACCATAATATAATTCCTGGGACAATGTCCTAACAAAATTCAGCACCAAAAACATAAATGTCAGTTTATCTTCAATTTTTATTATTATCTTTACTGTCTTCAGCCAGACATATGAAAGACCCAAGCCAACTTTTTTGTACCTTGGGCTAATGGTTCCATTTTAATATTCCAGGCTTTCTAAAAATCCAAATGATAATTTCCTTGAGGATTCAAATGGACTCCATTTCCAAATGTGACTTGGCTTAGACATCTTAAACAGGATAGCCCTGAAGCTCTCAGTGCTTCATGATGCCTCATAATTGAATCCAAATGTTATCCCTGGTAACGATTACGAAGCCCAATTATTTTTGGCCAGAAGGGGTTGCTTGGTTTCCTTATGATCAGAAAATCCTTTTCAAGTCTCTTTAAACAGAGTCACCACCTCTTGCCTAACTTGCCATATGGCAAAAGCCTTTGTGGGTTAGGGAAAACAAGGCTTCTTCTTCTAAGTTAAAGTCTATAAAGAGCAGATGGCAGACTAAAATTACCTTTTGGTTAACTTTAAAGAAAAGCTGGTCCTAGTAGCATGCAGATCAAGCTCCTGCACAGAATTACACTGAGCAAGAAATACAAGTAACACTATGCAGACGCAGCCTGAAGAAACAGGCCAGCAACGGAGTGCTTGGGGAGAATTTCAAGTATATATACATCAAGTGAGAATATAGAGAATAAAGCTCCATGGAGCCTATTTAGTGACACTGCACCTTCCCGATGATGGAATATATTGGTTTTATTACCGTTGTTTAGTATTCTGTCTTTCCTAACCATTAGGTTCCAATTTTGTTTTTGCTTTTTTTTTCACTTTTTAAAACTCATCTATTTCAACATTAGTTGGTCCTGACCACACAAAAAAATTCTTTTCTAAAGTTTTTCTTTCAGAAACCTTCTACAATTTTCTTTGCCTTTTTAAAGTTTTATTTTAATTCCAGTTAGTTAGCATATAGTGTTACATTAGTTTCAGGGGTACCATAATTAAGAGTCTGTTTCTTGTTCTGACTCTTTTTTCTCCCTCAAAAGGTTTTATTGTTCAATGCTGAATTTCTAATAGAGAGCATAGCACCTCGGAAGTAACATGTTTAGTAACTAAGTTAAGATGTCTTCATGTCTTTTATTTACGGAGAGCAACACATATAGGCTTTAAGAAGAGCTACCTGTCTTCTACAAGTAGTCTAAGTGCTTTATGCTGTTTAATAACATTTCATATTGAGAATTTATGTTGGGGTAGAGGCTGTTACATAAAGCCATGATTTTGATGGGAGAGTTTTTATAACAGATAGTAAATAACTCTCTGGAATTAAAGTCCATTTAAATGACTATGTGAGGGGCGCCTGGGTGGCTCAGTCGGTTAGGCGTCCGACTTTGGCTCAGGTCGTGATCTCACGGTTCTTGGGTGGCCTGAGCCAAAGTGAGATGCTTAACCGACTAAGCCATTTAGGCACCCTGTCAGCTCAGGTCTGGAGCTCAGAGTCTTGAGCCCCACATTGAGCTCCAGGCTGCATATAGTCTTTTTTTTTTTTTTTTTTTTGAAAGAGAGAAAGAGAGAGAGAGAGAGAGAGAGAGAGAGAGAGAGAATATCCCAAGCAGGCTCCACACTCAGCATGGAGCACGACTCAGGGCTCAATCTCACGAACCATGAGATCATGACCTTAGCCAAACTCAAGAGTTGGATGTTTAACTGACTGGGCTACCCAGGCCCACCTAGGTGTGAAACCTACGATTAATCAATCAATAAAAATAAGTGACTTGTGTGATTTTTCCAGAATCTGAAATGCAATAATGCTAGGCATTATTCTGAATGTAATAATGACGAGGACAGTTAATATTTATTGACTGCTAACATGTGCCATGCACTATTCTAAGCGCTTTACTCATTTAATCCTCATGATGATCCTTTAAAATAGATTCCATTATCATCCCCATTTTATAGATGAGGCAACTGAGTCACAACAGAAAAGTCAGAGAATTTGCCTGAAGTCACCCAGCTAGTAAGCAGCAGAGTTACAGTCACACTAGAAGTCACAGAATAAATGGTTCTTTTCTTTTCTTTCTATTTATCTAAAGTTAGACTTCATGCCCAGCACAGAGCCCAACGCAAGACTTAAATTCACGACCCTGAGATCAAGACCTGAGCTGAGATTAAGAGTTGGATGTTTAACTGACTGAGCTACCCAGGTGCCCCAAGGGAACTTCCCAAGAGCTGACACGTGTTTACCAGGTGAACAGTGTATGTACAGGGTATGGCTATGCTCCACCTGCCATCTTAACAATGAACCCAGAGCCAGGCACATGGTGGGACTGAAATACATGTTTGTAGAGTGCATAAATTTATTTACTTATTTTTAATGTTTAGCCATTTTTGAAACAGAGACAGAATGAGTAGGGGAGGGACAGAGAGAGAGGGAGACACAGAATCAGAAGCAGATTCCAGGCTCTGCACTGTCAGCACAGAGCCCGACACGGGGCTCGAACTCACAAGCCATGAGATCATGACCTAAGCCAGGGTCGGACGAAGTCAGAAGCTTAACGACTAAGCTACCCAGGTGCCCCTAGAGTGCATAAGTTTTAAAAAGTCATTTACCATCAGAAAGCAATGTCCTTACCACAGTTTATCACATGAGCACATCACCATTGTAAGATGTTTAAATTATTTAAATAAGAAATACAAAAATATAAATAAATTCCATTACAAATTCTGTCCAAAAATCATTAAGGAGAGAGATGAATTAGAAGTTGTGAGCATAAGGGGTGCCTGGGTGGCTCAGTCGGTTAAACATCCGACTTTGGCTCAGGTCACGATCTCATGGCTCATGAGTTTGAGCCCCACATCGGGCTCTGTGCTGACAGCTCTGAGCCTGGAGCCTGTTTCACATTCTGTGTCTCCCTCTCTCTCTGCCCCTCCCCAGCTCACACTCTGACTCTCCCTCTCCTTCTCTCAAAAATAAAGAAACATTTTAAAAAAAAAAAAAGAAAAGAAAAGCAGTTGTGAGCATAAAATATCCATATCCTGCTGGGCACCCCAGGACTAGCTGTCTACTTTGTACAATGCCGTATTCTGGCCTGTCCCCCTACAGAACAGGAAAGGACAACAGCCACCAAGACACACACAGAAAAGGACCAGAGCTAGTAACAAAAGAGAAGGGTCTATAAGTAAGCAAGAAATTTTAAAAATAAAAAAAAAACATGCGGTACCAGGAAGAGAATCTACGTAAATCAGTAGGGTGTGCTGGCATCATGTGAAGAGCCCCAAAGAAAGGGAAAGGCCCAGGGCCTGCACTGCTGGTCCCTTCCCCAACAGGGTGCCTGGAGGCCTGAAGAATAGTTCTCAAAGTCCCGGCAGGGGGCTGAAGGGCTTCTGCCCGGTCCTTCCTTCCTCCGGCCTGGTGACATTCCAAGCTCTGGAGCCCTGGCAACAGCTCCTTCTCTGAGCCACAGAAACACACTAAGCTGGAGGGAACCACAAAAACTACCCAACACTAACACCGCCGCCACTTCTGTGGGTTAGGCGGGGCAACGAGCACAACGGATAGGCGCAGGAGACGACAGGAAGAGAGAGGTGACAGCAGAGCACAGAACAGGAACGAAGGACGAAGGACGGGTGACTGATGTCTAGAAAAAGTACTAAAAGGACCAAAGCTGTTAATCTGTAGCCCTGGGAGACGAATAAACACTGTTAAAGTCCACCGAGTTCACTGTGCTGTGTGCTTCCCAATCGAGGTAATTTTACCTTCCAGCTTAAGAATTAACCCACACTTACTAGAGAGGAGAAAAGAAGAACAAGACACAGCTGTTTTCCACATTCTACACACAGCGTCCAAGGTTCCTCTCACTGCCAGAGGCTGAGGCACTGTGCAACGAACCCCACTGGCAAGCAAATTTAGGGATTTCTCTTAGTTGATGACATGGAGAGGACAGCTCAATGGCACTCGTACTTTAGGCTGCATCCCCAGGGGTCGAGTTCAGTGCCCTGGCGCCTCATTAATTCCCTCAGAGGAAGTAAAGTGGTCATCTATAAACTAATATTGGTCAACTTAGACCAATCCTCATATAAAATTTACACACGCGCACGTGCACACACACAGCCCCTAGAAGTAAACCAAAAATGCCATCATCTGAAAACAAAAACAGGCAGAATCTAGAATTGCAAATAACTGCTTTTCTTTATCTCTTAAAGAAGGGATTCTACAAACTCCATTTATGAATAAAAAAGGCTGGGAAAAAAAAAGAATAAAAAAGGCTGTTAAGCCTGGCTCAGTATATATTTAGGCTTTTTTTTGGTAACTTTTTTTCTTGTTTACAAAAGTAATCCATGTTCATTGTAGAAATTTTGGGAAATAAAATCTAAAAAAAATTGAAGAAAAAATTACTGATGATCCTTTAACTCTGAATATTTACTCCTCATGACAGTAAAACCTTTACAAATGAGATTTCCAGGCAATGAAGACTTTTGAACGTAACACAGGAAAGAAAAAATATTACAAGAAAGTGATTGTCTAGAGCTCTGAACTGTTCATCCTAATAAAGTTCTCACACCACTGACAATTTTCGTCTCCTTATCCAACCCCAAAGATTCTGCTGCTTGCAAGAAGCTGTTTTTTGTTTTGTCTTTTAGAAAATAACCAACAATCCCAGGACGACTGATGGAGAAGCAGTGAGGCCGCTTACCAAGTTTGCAGCGATCTCCAGCGCCTCGGTGTGCCTTCCCAGGCGAACCAGACACCGCGCCTGGCCTTCCTGGACATCCCTTTTCATGGCGAAATTTGTAGACGGCAGTTTTTCAGAGATACTGGAGTACTCTTGCAGTGCTTTCTGCCAATTATTTGTTAAATAAAGGAAATGAAGAGACGGAATGAAAAGAGAAGCAAAACCATAGTAGAAAAAGGATTCAGTTCCAGGGATGATTTTTTTCGTGGCAAAAGGTAATATTATAAAAGACTCTGCAATGAACTAAGGAGGGCTTGAGTATCTGTCAGTTCTGTTTTCTAAAAAGGAGAAAAGAGATGGCTGGAGAATATAACCACTACGACCATGGAAAATATCACCGTATGGTACGAAAGCATTCTGGGGCCAAGCAGACCAGGGTGTGGATCCTGGTTCTGCCATGAACTTGCTATATAGCCTGCCTTTCCTCATCAGCAAAATAGCAAAGGGACTCTTGCCAAGAAGAAATGAGATTTTATATGTAAAGCAAGCTGATACCTAATTATTAGTTCTTTCTTTTTCTTACACATTTTGGGGTGCTTTGCTCCTCTGACCCCATGAGGCATCTGCGCTAGAGGGTCCCACAGAATGAGGAGACAGACAGCCTGGGGAAACAGACCTGCAAGGATCTCAAGAAGATCCCTATATCGTAGTTACAGGAAACAGAACAAACGACAGAGAGCCATGAAGAAAAGGACAGAGATTTGGGATTCTGAGATCAACTTACCACAAAACACTAAATTCATCCTCACACACAACACACTCATCACTGATACGCTGTAACTGACAGAACAAGAGGCTATTTCAAGTAGTGCAACCTTACATATGTTCAATTCTACCTGATACTCCTGCCGCCTGTAGGCAAGGTCCCCTTGGAATTTCTTCAGAGTCAGAGCTTCAACATCATCACTGCTCCCCGTTTCTTCATAAAACCACTAGAAATTGTGAAAATAGCACATTACAGGGAATTAAGTGATACTTTTCCATCTCATACTCAAGTAGAAGCAATTTCCCATATATAATTGATTAGACCTCAAAAAAAAGATCCTTTTTTAGGATGAGACTCACAGGAAAACCTGTGATGAGAAGAACGACAATTTTAGTGATGGCTCAGTTTTTATTCAATTTTCCGTAACGTACCCATGATATGGAACCCCTCAACTGAAAAAGAAGCACAGGCCTATTTGGTTCTATCTATAGCATTTCTAAATGGGGTTGTGGTGCCCGGGAAGCTACATTTTAACTAGGACAGTTCAAAAGTTCTTTTTCTTTTCTTTTTTTTTTTTTAAAAGCTTATTTATTTTGAGAGAGAGAGAGAATCCAAGTTGGTTCCAAACTGTCAGCACAGAGCCCGACGTGGGTTTGAACTCACAAACCATGAGATCATGACCTGAGCTAAAATCAAGAGTCAGATGCTTAGGATGACCGAGCGCCCCAGGCGTCCCTTGAATGCCTCTTTAGGCCTACGTATGTTTCCCCGCAGAGACATTTTTAGAGTGGTTGGAACAGGTATTGACAACCCTTTATGGAAAGGACACAGGAAAGAAGAATTATTTTTATAGTGCTTACTGTGAAAATGTTGTAAAAGCAAAAAGTAGAATTTGACCAAAAAGGCAGAAATTAAGGCTGAAAGTAGGTTTCCGTGCAATCAAATGCCAAAGACCTCTCCTTCTCCCAAAGGGGAGAAGTTTGAGTAAATGCCCATCTGGAATACTGTATTCTCTTTTCTACTGACTTCAACCTTATGGATAGAAAGGAGAGTGAACTGGGAGTTCCTGGTTAGGGAATAAAGAACGTGAACATGAGAAAACAAGTGTAACAAGAAGCGGTCTGTGGCCACTTTTTCCAGCTCCAAAGCAGTAACTGGGCATCCCCTTTCCTCACAAAAAAAACACAGAAAACCATACTGAGGATGAATGGGGTTGATCCCCAGGCAAAGTGCTATTAAAAACACAGCTGCATTTGTGATAGTTCCACTATCACGTCTAATTGCTTGGTTCCATTTCTAGAAGAGCTGCCCGCCTATCACTGCCCCACCATTAACTTCGTGAAATCGTTTCTCTCCATAGCCTGGTCTATCACAGCGAAGAAAGCCGGCAACTGCCGTTTTCTGTTGTCTCCGAAGGACTGCAAAAGTCAACAACATGGGGCGCCTGGGTGGCTCAGTCCGTTAAGGGTCCGACTTTGGCTCAGGTCATGATCTCATGGTTCGTGGGTTCCAGCCCCGCGTTGCGTGGGTTCGAGGCCCTGCGTCGGGCTCTGTGCTGACAGCTCAGACCCTGGAGCCAGCTTCCAATTCTGTGTCTCCCCCTCTCTCTGACCCTCCTCTGCTCACACTGTCTCTCCCTCTCTCTCTCTCGGAAATAAAACATTAAAAAAAAAAAGTCAACAACAGTCTAAGTACAGAAGCCACCACTTTCCTCTGCGCTCCGCCGCTCTCCAGTCACAGCGCCAAGCCCAACTCCCTAACTACGAACCTCTATCCAATTGTCATGATCCCTCTGGGAGATGGTCAAGCAAAAACTGGCTTTCGAATGATCCTTTTCTCCTCCCACTTAACGTGCAGGCCTGCAACAATTCAGAACAGGGGTGGCTTCAAACACCCCTTTCTGGTAAGAGGAAGGAGGGGAGATCTGTGAACAAGGGTGGCACTAAGAGGTGAGGCACTGGGTACCTCCAGCCTTTGTCACATGCAGAACGGGGACAACAGAAATCTAACCAAAGCTCCCAGTGTTACACCCAGGGAACCACCATGACCCGCGAAGGCGTCTCTGGCTTTACGAGCGGGACCACGTACCAAACGCGTCCTAAAGACGAGCGATCTTCGGCTCCGACTCTCTACGCATACAGCACATCACACCTGACAAGGTCCTTCACCCATTTCACTCCACGACAGCCCTGGGAGCCAGCAAATACTATTGTTCCCAAATGACAAGGAAGGAAGTGACACCTTGAAAGCTAAGCGGTAAAGCCCAGGCTGGAATTCAGGGTCCTATCACTAATACCTATAGCTTTTGATGCTGCACCACTCTGCGATCCCAAGGCCATTCCTGTTTTTAGTCTACATGATCAACTACTACAAGCAATGCTGAAAGGATGTACAGATAAGGAGAAAAGGAAAGTGAAACACACATATTTCAGTAATTACTGAGCGCCTGAGATCTCTACAACGGTTTCAAGGAAAAATGAAGACCATACCTATAAAGGTACCTAGCACAGTGCCTGGAACAGGTACATTTTTGATAAATAGTACAGTAGTTCTTACACGTGAGCTGAGATTTACACCCATGCGGCAATACAAAGTAATATTCTACTAATTCCAAACATTCACGGAGTTTGCTATTATGAACAAAAACTACCAGGCACTGTAGACGACATGAAGTCAAGCACCCACTCTGCTGAGATCATTTAGCACTGAGGGTCCAAGAGCGTGACGCTCCCGACAAGGGCTGTTAACACAAACTGAATGCAAGGGGGAAGTAAAGACAAACTGTATTTGCTTGGAATGAGGAAATCAGAAAAGACTTCCTGGAGGAGGCAGCATTCGAAGTGCGCTCTAAGAAACGGATATAATTCAAGGATTTGACCCTGCGAGCAGGGCTGAAAAGCGGACGGAGGAAACTCACGGACTAAGGGCAGGTCAGTGGGCGGGGCGTCGCCGTTTGCGGAGCAGAAAACAATAGTTTTGGAAAGTGGGCGGGGGCCGGATGTCTGGGGGGGTACAGACTGCAGAATCAGTGTGGCCATACCGGGTTGCCGAAGACTTCGGGGCTGGGGGGGACGTGAGGCCAGCCAGCCTCGGGGAAGACCCGCCAAACGCCCGGTACCAGTTAATCGCCGCCAGCGCGGGGCCGACGGGCCGACCCCTCCGGGTGAGGCTCGGGAAACGCCCCGGCCTCGTGGGGAGAGGGGAAGGGCAACGGGAGGGGCGGCCCGGCGAGGAGGCGGGCGCTAGTGCCTCAAGGAGCTCCCCGCCGGGAACCCGCGGAGGCCGAGGCCGGCGGTCTGGACAGAGGCCAGCAGGCCCCGCCGTCTCACCTGCGGCTCGCAGCGCTTGGCGCGATAGGACGCCGGCGGTCCAGGCCGCCGCTCCCGCCTCTCTTCGAACACCGAGTCCTCGAACTCGCCCCCTAGCAACCAGCACCCAGTCTCCATCCCGCGCCCGCCGCCGGACTCTGGGAGTAGGCGGAGTCTAGAGCGGCGCCCACGTGCGTGCCAGTGCGGAAGGGGCGGAGCCTCCAAGGCCAGAGCGCGGCATGCTGGGGCTTGTAGTCTCTGGGAGGAGGGGCCCCAAAGCGGGCATTGGCTCGCAGCTGGCTTGGTCCTGGTGAAACAGATTTTTATCTGACTCACAAACTGACCGAAGTCGGGAGCGGAGTGTTTGACTTATCTGTTTCAGGAGATGGACAGAGATCCTTATCTGCACGCATCAAAAGCAGGCTCCAGGGTAGTTTTTTAAAACTCATAGGTACCATTTTTTTCACCACTGAAGATATTTGTGGCGCTGTGTTAAGCACAGTTTTTGCACTTAACATCCTCTCCTAACAACTTAGGAAAGGCACAATGATTCCCGCTTTGCAAATGGAGTTGTTGGAGATTAGAGATAAGTATGCTGCTTAGGATCAATTCTTATGTGGCTACGAGCTGGGAAAGACAAATCAATCTCTAGTCCCCATATTTTGGGAAAAGAGACACCACCACCAATAGCAAAGACCAGAGTAATTCACGCCATTTATAAAACGGAGTGCATAAGTTTACTATGGATGTTCGATCAAGGACCATTAATTTTACCTGAAGAAAAAAAAAACACCAAATCCCAGAAGTGTAAAACTAACATTTACTAGAGTTCTTATACTTTCAAGATATTCCTTGAGACTAGAAAATCGAAATTATTGACAAAATACCGGCCAATATGGCACAGCTCAAATATTACTGTGATATATTACACAGCAGGTTTTCCCACTTCTCCCCACTCACCTGGTCCTCTTCCACCATTTGTCTTACAAGGTTTTATCTTCAACCCAATTTTCTATTCCACAAACTTAACCTGGGGGAACCTAATCCACTCCCCAAGGTTTCAAAATCCATCTCTCTGCTGATCGATCACTCCTCAGATCTAGAGTCAGCCCATATATCCAACAACCTTGAGTGGAAGGTTTCATCCGGACAGGCTCCAGACATTAACTACTAATGTATTCATCCATAGAAAGGCTGTTAAAAAAAAGAAGAAAAAGTTTGTTTTCCTATCAGAGATGTTATAGTCCTAATTAGGAAAATTTTAGAAATTATGGAAAAATAGAAGAAAAAAATCAAAGAAAAAAATAGAAATTATAGAAAAAGAGAAGAAATATCCACCTCCATAATATCATCATCCAGAAGTAATGGAGTCTAAACAAGTTAAGCATATTTGTCCTAATGTTAATATATCCTGTTTTAGCAGAAAAAGCAATAACACAGCATGGTGTTGAAACAGCCTCAAGCACCAGATTTCTCTGGGCTCATGATCCTGGTTCAATTATTCACTAGCAGTGTGACCCAATTTGTCAAATGGGCATTGATTAAAATAATGCATGTAAAATGCCTGTCAGATAGCAAATGAGTAATACATGTTCATTCAAAATTCCTGTTTCAGGAGCAAAGTAAGAACAGAGCAAAGGCAGACAGAGATTTTTTTTTTTCCCCAGCCTTTTCTTTCTAAAGGCTGTTTAGTTTTGGAACATCAAATCCTCTTGGTTTCTGTGTCCCCACTTCACACCCCCCACCTCCCCACCCCGCCCCAGCCTCCTCCTGGCCCAACAACCACTTCAACTAAATTTTCTGCTGCAATGGTAAAGAAGCCACAGAATTGCAGCTTATGAGTAAGAGAGAGTTCTTTGCCCTTTGAACTCAAAATTCCTGAGCTCAGGGGTTTCCAGCCTTTTCACCACTAAGAACGCTTTCAGTTATTTTTCCTCAAAAGTTTCGGAGGACTTGTGTACACAATAAAACTGCATTAATTAACTAATAATTGCTTTGCTTTCTTTTAAAAAAGTGAATCCAAAGTCCTATATAAGAGTCAGTACAAGCTTCTGCTCAGCCTGAGCCTACTGGCATTGCCTTGTTGTGTGTTAGGATTTTAGCTGAAAGCAAAGTAGCTGTGAGGGACTCCAGAAAGCCTGGGGAAAGGTTAAACATGATTAACATTGGGTATTTATTAATAATGAAAACAGCACAAAGGCCCCTATCACTATTGAGGACCTGGTACCTGAACCCCAAGTTTTAAACCACTGGCTCACTGATGGAAAGGACTTAGGATACTATCTTTTTATTTTTTATTTTATTTTTTTTTTAGAAGAGAGAGCACAGAGGAATGAGCAAGGGGCTTATGATTCTCAGGATTCTCAGTCCAAAGTGGGGCTTGATCCCAGAACACTGGGATCATGACCTGAGCCAAAATCAAGAGTTGGATTCTCAACCAACTGAGCCACCCAGATGCCCCAATGTCATTTTTTTAAATGTTTATTTATTTTTGACAGAGAGAGCTCAAACAGGTGAGGGGCAGAGAGAGAGGGGCAGAGGATCTGAAGAATGGTTCTGTGCTGAGAACACAGCCTGGTGCTGGGCTTGAACTCACAAACCCCAAGATCACTACCTGAGCTGAAGCTGGACACTCAACTAAGCCACGCAGACACCCCATAAATATTTTTTTAATTTAATTTTTAAAGTGATCTCTACACCCAACGTGGGGCTTGAACTCACAACCGTGAGACCAAGAGTCACACGCTCCACCCACTGAGCCAGCCAGGTGCCTCTAGATAATGTCATTTTTAAAAAGAGGAGGGGGAGCCTGACTGGCTCAGTGGGTAGAGCATGTGACTCTTGATCTCAGGATTGTGAGTTCAAGCCCCGCATTGGGTGTGGAGCCTACTTTAAAAAAATAATAAAAACTAAAATAAGAAGAGGAGAGTAAACCAGTAAGAGAGAAAGGCACTTTGTAACTATTAAATACAACTTACATACTTAGGAAATGCCAGGTGCTAAGCACAGGTAGGGAGTAAAGGGGAATTTTGCAAGTGGTTAAGATTGTGTGGGTTGTAATAAAAATTTTTATAGATTTTTATTTATAGAAATCTGATTCTTGACTGAGGGCGGTGATTAAGTTCCCCACTGCAAGATAGATATCACTTACTCTAGGCAGCTTGCCTTCCTTTTTTCTGTCATTCCTCCATGCTTTTATCCACTGTGGCATTTATGATGCTGTGGACTACTGGAGGTTAGAGATGGTATCTTTCTATCTTGGAAACCCAATCCCTCAGACAGGGTTTGGCCCAGAGCTGCTCAATCAATGCTTGTTGAATGAACAGGAAATAGCAGAAGGAGCAGACAGAAATATTTCTCAGTTTTGTTTTGTTTTTAAGTTTGTTTGTTTAATTGTTGATAGAGAGCAAATTGGGAAAGAGAGAGAAAGGGAGACAGAGGATCCGAAGTGGGTTCTGCGCTGATAGCGCAGGTGATGCAGGGCTTGAACTCAACCTCTGGATCATGACCTGAGCTGAAGTCGGACACTTAACTGACTGAACCACCCAGGTGCCCCACTTCTCAGTTCTAAGTTGCATATTCAGGTCCTTTCTGAGGGGGATGGAAGGAGCCAACATTTATGAGCATCTATTATGTAGATGTGTATTATGTAGGTTGTGCTACGGACATTCTATTAACTTCATTGTAATTAACACTCAAAATATCTCCCTCAAAATTAGACATTATTATTTCTATTTTTGCGTACGAGGAAATAGGATCTGACAGGTAACTTGCCCAGGGTCCCAGGTAGTGAGTGAAAGAAACCAGATTAAAATTCAACTTTATCTGACATCAAAGTCTGTGTTCTCAACTCTCTCACAAAACCCAAATGGCAGGGTTTCATAAAGACCTGGAGAACTGAATCTGTCCCTGGCTGGCTCTGCCTGCCTCATGTCCTGGAGGCTTGGGGACTCTCATTTCGTCTGTGTGTCTCTGCAGAATGGCTTTCTCTGCGCTGCTTGTACACCTTCCAACATGGCCTCTGAGACCTGGGCAATTCAGGCCCCCAGAAGAAAATGACGAGCAATACTGTGCGTCCAATTCCAGGTCACCTGCCAAGAGACTCCACTGGCCACAGAACAAGAAGCCCTCGCCATGAGCTGAAGGCTGAAGGTCCTGTTGGTCTGCCGGTGGCTCAGGGGTGGCTGTGGGACCAGGAGGTATCAGGGAGCCAAGCAGTCTATGGGATGTGCGGTCACTGTGCCAGGCAGAGCGTGGGGTCTTTGCTTTGGTCTTGTCTGGAAGCCCCTGGCTGGAGTCTAGCCTCTTGGGTACATCATCCCACAGACCCAGGGGTTCTTCCAAAGTATAAGACTGTTCTCACTGTACTTAGAAGTTACACCCCTCCACACCCCTCCCAGGCTTGAATCCTGCTCAATTTCTATCTCTCTAAGATACTCCCCTCCAGAACACCGAAATATTATCTTTGACCACAGGCTTTAACCAAAGGTGAGAAGACTGGTTGTTTTCAAATTGTTTTTGGAATTACCCATAAATCCGGACGTTCTGTGAAGCCAGGGGAAGTTTTATCCAGCCCTCCAAGATGCGTGTCTGAGGTTACTACTTTCCTTCCTGGCCCAAGGGAGATGTTAGAGGTGCTTTGAAAAAGCTTGACCCCTTACTAACTACACATCCTTAGGCATTCAAAACCATCTACAGTTGGTTACCAAACCCTCATACTCTTTTCTTTCTTCTTTTCTTCCTCTCCTCTCCTCTCCCCTTTCTTTCTTTCTTTCTTTCTTTCTTTCTTTCTTTCTTTCTTTCTTTCTTTCTTTCTTTCTTTCTTTCTTTCTTTCTTTTCTTTCTTTCTTTCTTTCTTTCTTTCTTTCTTTCTTTCTTTCTTTCTTTCTTTCTTGCGTTTTTGTTTCTACAACTTTATCAAGGTATAATTGACAACTGCACACATTTAAAATGAATTTTGACATAAGTATATATCCTGTGAAACCTTCCCTCCACTCAAGGTGACACATATACATCACCTCTAAAGGTTTTATCCCTCCCCTGCCTCATTTCTTCAACTGAATCCTGCTCTGCAAGCAGGCTGGTCCTCTCCAGAATGGGCCTCCCCACCTCGCCCCCCAAGTCTTCCCTTCATCCTGCAACCTTCCCTGCCACT